GTCCTCCTTGCTCTATTTTCCACAGGTTATGGAGGAGACGGGCTTGGATATTGAACACCGTTTAAACGAGAATCTCTTTATTGACGCCTGCCTCGGCGAAACAAAACGTCGTGCCTTTATTGTTGAAGGTTTTCCTCGAACCTCACGTCTGCAACCTTCAACGAGGAATGAAATCGAGGTAAGTCTTGCGTTCCAGACAGAATCGCATTTAGATTCTCTCGCCCTCCCTCAACCGGCTCTCTTGCTACCTAGTTTACCGAAATTCCGATTCGAAAGTTGCATATCTAACGAACGTCAATAGACATTCGTCAAGAGGGCTTATTCACAAAAAAGGAATACTGCCAAAGCCAGGTGAACTCGGCCCATCAAGTCAAAACGGGACGAGCATGCCTTTTCCTGTAATCGAGTCGGTGAAACGTCATTGCCACGTGATTTTGAGTATTTTCGATGAAATCCGGCAGGGTATAATCCCGTGGCTTAAACCCATGACGAACAAGTGGCCTGGGTTCAAATCTCAAGTAGTTTCGGCCTGGAGTTCGGGTATGGCTCGTTGTTGATAGCAAGTGGGCCGGAAGTTGTCATCCTAGTTTTCCTTAACTTCATCGTTATTCCTTCCGATTTATTTTCTTTAGAAGACGAGGTGGCGAGCATACGTAGCTTTCGATAAATTCTCGTCGGACCAGTACAATTTTATGGAAAGGGGGTAGAAGTAAAACACCTCAGTGATAAGATAAACCGATTAAAGTTCGCCTTAAACACCGGCTGGGTGTGGAAATGTGGGGGGGAGGGTAATAGCAGTCAGTATCAGGGGCAATGTGAGAGCGGAAGGGCGCGGGAGAGTTGCAGCGTTAGTCGATCTTCGGCCACTGAAGCGCGGAGCCTGAACGTGGTTCTTCTGTGCTCACAAGATTGGTTTTCGCAACCTGATGGCGGCCGCCTCTGCTGTTGCTAACAATGGTCTACAGGGACTCCAGCCTGGAACAAAGGGGAACAGGCATTTACCTTCCCACAGTGAGTGTTCTTACAGCCTGATGGTCGAAAGTCCAAGTTGCTGTGGCATGCCTGGTACATGGCGTGTCCAATTCCAGCGCCAGATGGCTGATTGGCTCGGATGGTGGACTGGTGCATGGGAGGTCGACTCTGGGATATCCACCTCCACGGCATATCAGTACATTTTTCGCCGTAATATAAATCCGACGCGCTTTGAAACTATCAGGATGTGATAAAAGTCGTGCTGACTGACGGTGTAACTCGGTCCTCGTGTCCGGCACTGTAGGTATGCTCGGTGACTGACTTGGGGACTAAGAATCGGGTTGCAATGACACTTTAACGTGTCCCCTACCGCATTCCCAGGCAGGTGGAATCTGGGCCGTGTCTTGCTTTTCGGGGAAAAACTGGCACAATGTGCACAGACCAGGTCTATTTAGCGTTGTTAGCCACTGCGCTCGTACCCGCCTCCGGTCATCCGGACTCTGGCTTGCCACTGGACCCAGATTAGTGGAGTAAGACAGAGTGTGGCAGGTGCTGTGCAAGTCTGCGATCGTTGTAAGCTAATTCACACGCGGGTCCCCGTTCTGCGCCCATCAAGTTGCGGGACACAGGATGGACCTTGTCGTTAGCTACGGCCAGCTTCCAGCTGGCCGACAACCTGGGCTGCAGGTGCCTGTCCGACCTAACTCACTGCCCTCTTGGACTTAAGGTGTGTTAGGAAGTGTGACAATGTTGCCACTTCTGTCGTAAAGGACTTTGCCGACCCATGTTCCGCAAAAGCTCTGTGTCCTTTCCATTGACAAACTAGCTAATTTTGGTTATTTTCAATGACCGGGTCGATGAATGAATGTCGCGTTTGGCCTTAGTGGGTCGGCTTTGTTCCGGCCAAAAATAGTAGGCAGTATAAACTGGCGAACATGCAGATTTGGTCTCGTTGGGAAAACAGACGTCTGCACTTAGCCCATTCATGTGGGTCATTAGTGAGACGAATGCTAAGGACAGCTATCGCGAGTGTCTTCTCCGCGTATTCCCCACAAACTCTCCCCCCTCCCTGTGTTTGGGGGAAGACCCACTGCCGTTTCAGGCCACCTCGATGTGTATTTACTCATTCACATACTCCTCTGGGGCGAGGTACATTGGCCGTACAACGAGGGGGTACGCGAACACATACCGGCTAGATCGCAGTTTGTAGCCAGGCCCGTATTACAGGTGACTGCGGGGTTTGTTTACTGGGGCTATTTTGTGGAGCTCCATAATCACATGTGACCCATTTGGATTCCGTTTTACGATTGAGGTTAGGATTAGGGTACTAGTTAATAGTTACCGATTTTCGGGTTAGGGTTATCCATTTAGGCTTAGATTTTCGGCTTACGGTTAGGGTTTTAGAGTACGATTAGATTTCAGTATTACGGATGGGTTTTTCAGTTAACGATATGCCTACGGGCTACGGTTACGTTTACGATTTCGGGCAGGGCTAGGGTTAGGGTTGCCGTTAGGGTTAACGGTTAACGTTTAATGTTGAGGTTATGGTTAGGATTAAGGTTAGGATTAGCGTTAGGGTCGCCGTCCGCTTCCCATTCCTGGCTACCAACTGCGATCTAGCCCACATACCTGCCTGGCTAAGTAAAGAGAGAAATCGATTGATTTCAAGTTCAATTCTCGCACATCTAATCGATACAAACCGCCAAAGAAGCCTTTCAGGTTATCATCCGGACCTGAGCGCACTATTCTAAAGGCCTACACAGACGGGTGCTAGCAGCAGACGAGGCAGTGGCTATTCGGTTAACGAATCCAGCCCTCTGTTGTTAGAAGACGTTGAAACAGTCAGTCTGCCTTCGCCGGCCGAC